CCCACCCCCCCTGCCTTTCTTCCTCCCTCTCCTTCCTCTTTCCGCACCCTCCGGCTCTCCTCTCCGCTCTTCCCCACCCCCCGCCCGCCTCCCCTCCGCCACCCCCTGCCCCTCCCATCCTCCCCGGCCCACCTCCCCGTCCGGGGTCCTTGCCTGCTATTCTTGTCTGTCTTCGCGTGTCCTTCTTTTTCCTTCTTCATTCTTCTCCTTATTCTTCTTTTTCATTCTTTTCTTCTCTTTTCCATTCTCTTCCATCTTCTTCTTTTTTTCGTCATTCTTTTTTCTTCTGCTTTTTCTTCTCTCTTTTTATCCTAGTCCTTCCTTGTCCTCTTTTTTCTCCTCTCGCCCTTTCTTGCTGTTTTGTCTTGAATGTGTGTACGTGCTTATCTTATGTTTTGTAGTGTGTTTGTAAGGGGAGGGTAGAAAAGCGGATCCCCCTGAACCGAGAGATAGAGAGAGAAGGGGTAACCCCCTGAGCAGAGCGCCGACCGCGAGAGAGAGAGGACGAGAGAGAGAGCAGAGAGAGGCGAGAGCGAGAGACGAGAGAGAGCGACGCGGCCGCGAGAGAAGGAGAGAACAGAGAGCGCCTGAGAGAGGAAGCAGGGAAAGCGACCCCGCCAGGGCCCCCCTTATCACTACATATCATCCCATACTTACCTATATTACGCCACGACATACCCCTTCCCAACCATCCTAAATACTACCGTCCCTGGGCATATCTTACCGCCACCTCATATGTACCCCCGTACGTGTATTACCTACGTACATTGTATTACGTACACTAACTTTATCATACTACTAACTTCCCTACTTACTTACCTTTCATTCCTTCTTTCTTACCTACATACTACGTACATACATTCATACATTTCATACATACGTACATACATACATACTCAACATCATACATACCATACATACATACATACATACATACATTCACATACATACATACATACATACATATAAACATACATACATACATACTCCTACATACATACATACATACATTCCGCACATACATACATGCACACATACATACATATCAGTACCCCCCAAACACACCCATACCCCACACACACACGTAGCAACGTTGCACAGCCCCCCTCTCTAATGTTACAGCAGTTAGCGATGCCAACCAGAGTCCTGAGGGCGCGCTGGCTCTGTGCCTGGCGTTGGCACTCCTCGGCGTTGGTGCCAGGGTCCGCCGCGGTTGGCAACACTGCTACGCTAATGCACGGGTTATCAGAATGACAAAACGTATCGAGAGGTCGTGACGCTATTGGGGGGGGGGGGGAAGAGGGAGAGGGAGAAATGGAGAAAAGGAGCGGGAGAGGGGAGGGATATATGGGGAGGGGAGGGAGGCGGGAAGGAGGGTGGAGAGAGGGAGAGGGGGGGGAGCTGAGGGGGTGGAGAGAGGGAGGGGGATAGGGGGAGGGAGAGAGATAAGGGGGGAGAAAGGGAGAAGGAGATAGGGGGGTGGAGAGAGGGAGAGGGATATATGGGGGAGGGGAGGAGAGAGAAAGGGAGAGAGGGAGAGAAGGAGTGAGTGAGAGAGAGACAGACAGACAGACAGATAAACAGAAGCAGAGAGAAAGAGACAGGCAGAAAAGGGGGAGGAGAAAACTTGAGACAGTCGGATACATACAGAGAAGAAAAAGAGAAAAAGGATAACAGTAGTAGGAAGAGAAGACGAAACATAAACACGGGAAATGAGAACAAAGAAGAGAAATAAAGAGAAGATAAAGCTCAAGATAATATAGAAATTAAGATAAGAGAGAAATTTTAAAAAATGGAAGAGAATACAAAAAAGAAACGAAATCTTAAAAATAGCAACACAACATCCAGAAAAAGAGAAAATAACAAATATAAACGAAAAATAGAAGAGAATTTAAAAAAACAAAAAAGAAAACAAAAAAGAAAATAAAAATGAATATCAAGACCACACCAAAAGCAAGAGAAATAACAAGAAAGGGAAATAACAACGAGAGTGAAATGGACTAATAGCCTTTCAGACAAAGACATCACACTCGAGACATCAGACGTAAACAAAGGCTCTTTCTCCGAGAAGATTTATGCCCGCGGGGTGATGACGTCATAGAGTCTGCGGCGATTGCGTAAGAGGTCTATTTTCGGTTCTTAATTGATATGGGACTCCGATCAATCGCGGTTCGTGAATGGGACTATCTTTCGTGGGTCTGGTTTCATATTCTTTCGTTTTTTTTTTTTTCGTTTTCGGTTTGCTTTTTCTTTCTTCTTGTTTTTATGTTTTCTTTCTCTCTTCCCATTTTTTTATTTGTTTTTTTTTTCCTTCTTTTTTTTTTACGTTTTTTTTTTTCTCTTTCCACTTTTTTCTATTTTTTCTGTCTTATTCTTTTCTTTCTCTCTTTCCTTTTATTGCTTTATCCACTCTTCCTCTATTTCCGTACTTTTTTTCTTACTTCTCTTTCTCTTTCGTTATTTTATCTCCCTAATCCTTTTTCTCTTGCTTCCTTTTCTTTATTGTTCTCTATCAATCTTTCACTCTTCACTTGTTCTCACTCTCTCGTTATTTCTCTCTTTTTTATGCTTTCTCCATTTTCATATTCTTTATTCCTCTCATTTCCTTTCTCCCTATTGTTATTCCATTTTTTTCCTTTCTATTTCTGTGTCTCTCTGTCTCTTCCTTTCCTTCTCTCTCTGTTTCTTTCTCTGTTCCTCTTCCTCCCTCTCCTTAACTCTCCGCCTCCTTCTCCTTCCTTATCCTTTACCTTCCATCTCTTCGTCCTCCGCTCCTATCCCTTCCTCCCCCTTTCGTTCTCTCTTTCCTCTCTCCTTCACCCTCTTTCATTCCCTCCTCATAATTACTTCTCCATCTGTTGCTCCCTCTCCTGTCTTTACATCTCGTACGTTTATATGTCTGTGTATCTTATCCGTGTGTCTGTCTGTGCGTCTCTTTCTGTTTGTCCCTGTCCCTGTCCCTGTCCCTGTCCCTGTCCCTGTCCCTGTCCCTGTCCCTGTCTCTGTCTCTGTCTCTGTCTCTGTCTCTCTTTTCTCTCTCTCTCTCTCTCTCTCTCTCTCTCTCTCTCTCTCTCTCTCTCTCTCTCTCTCTTCTCTCTCTCTCTCTCTCTGGTTTATTCTCCTTCTTCCTCTCCCTTTTACATTCTCATTCACCCTTTCCCTCTCCCTCTTTCACTCCTCCTTCCCCTCTTCCTTGTTCGTCTCCCTCTCAATTCCTCATCTCATCTCCTCTCTCCTTCCTCATTACCACTCTGCACCCTCCCTCTTCCCCCACTCTTCCTCTTCCTCCCTCTCCCTCCCTCTCTCCCTCTCCTCTCCCTCTCTCCTTCCTCTCTCTCCCTCTCTCCCTCTCTTCCTCCTCTCCCTCCTCTCTCCTCTCCCTCTCCCTCTTGTATCCTCTCTCTCCATCTTATCCCACTCTCCCCTCTAGTACAAACTCTCTTCTCTCTCCCTTCTCTCCCTCTTCTCCCTCTCCCTCTCCTCCCTCTCTCCCTCTCTCTTCCTTCCTCCCTCTCTAGGCCCTGTAAGTACAAACCCGTTCCAATTTAGGAGTCTTATACCCGTTCACCTTGACTCGTCTCGTCACCAAAGAAGCTGCGACGATGAGTGGAAAAAAAGAGGAATAATAAAAAGAAAAAAAAAGAAGAAGAAGAAGAAGAGGAGTAGGAGGAGGAGGAGGAGGAGGAGAGAAGGAGAAAAAGGGGGAAATGAGAAGGAGAAAAAGTGGAAAAAAGAAAAAGAAGGAAAAAGGAGTAATAAAAAGAAAAAAAAGTAGGAAAAATAGAAGGAAGAAAAAGAAAAGAAGAACAAGTAAGAGAAGGAAAGAAAAAAAAAACAAGAAGATGAAGAAAAAAGTAAAATGAGAAGGAGAAGAAAAGAAGAAGAAGAAAGAAGAGGAAAAAAGTAAAATGAGATGGAGTAAAAACAGAGATAAATAAACATTGTACTCATCTGAGCCGTAGTGTTCACCTCCCTGTTCTTTAATGTTCTTTTCTTAATAAACATAACAAGTTTTATTGAGTCGTTGGGGTGCTCACGCGATGTCGGGGGAAAATGAAGAGGAAAATGAAGTAAGATGAAGGTCGTTGCGGTTGTCATTTTCATCCTTGCCATCTCCTTCTTCGTTGTTACTTTGATCGTGGATGGTAGAATGATAATGGTCGTGGGCATGGTGCTGATGATGAAGATGATGTGGATGGTGGTGGTGGTGATGATGTGGATGGTGGTGGTGATGATGATGATAAAGATGACGACGATGATGATGATAATGTAGATGATGTGGTTGGTTGTGAGGATGATGGTGATGTGGATGGTAGTGGTGTTGATGATGGTGGTGATGATGATTATGATGATTTTGATGGTGATGATGATGATAGTAATGATAATGATGATGATGGTAATGATAATGATGATGGTGATGATATGGATGGTGGTGGTGGTGATGATGATACATTCATCGTTGTTATAACAAGTATTGATACCATTGTAATCATCATTATATTACCATTGCCATAACATAATTAACTCTCATAGACATAGACATACACATAAATGTACGTGATGATTTGCATCTATTCATATATGTGTATGTAATATATTATATATATATATATATATATATATAATATATATATATTATTATATGTATATGTGTGTGTGTGTGTGTGTGTGTGTTGTGTGTGTGTGTGTGTGTGTGTTGTGTATGTGTGTTGTGTATTTATGTATATCTATGTCTATGAGAGCTAATTATGTTATGGTAATGTGTGTGGATATATTGAAATACATACATATATATATATATATATATATATATATATATATATATATATATATATATATATATTATATATATATATACAAACATCCGTAAATACACACTAAACTTACACAGAATATACAATTACTTATCGGAGAATCCACAGGCGTAAACACAAAAAAACAAAACAAAAACAAAAACCAACAAACCAAAAGACCAGAAACGCAAGCGCGCAGGACCTCACCGGGCGGACTCCCCACCGGCGGCAGACACGTGTGCACGCAGCCGTTGAAACAGCAGGCGAGCTCCCACTCCTTCCCGCCCCGCTCCTGCTGGCACTGCTGGTGGTGGAGGCAGGCGGGGGCACTGCACAGCTCGGGCATGAAGGGCGTGGCGGGCGGGGGGCACGTCGGGGCGTCGGCGGCTTCTCCTACTCGGATGCCTTCGGAGCCTGGGGCGTGGTGCTCTGGGGGGAGAGGGGGAGTCAGTTTGGGTTGTTCTTGTTTGTTTGTTGTTTGTTGTTGTTTTGGTGTTCTGGTTGTAACTCGCAGATATTTACGAATAAATGAGAATGAGTATATTGTATGAGTTGTATATAACCACATTCTTTATTGAATGGTATCAGTGATAGATTACAAGTAGAGCAAATTATAAGTATACCCATCAATATTACATCTATCTTATGTATGTATGTACGTATATACACATACAGAAAACAAATACAAAGAAAATAACATCAAAGATAACAAAAGTATGGCAAACTATGGTAGCTAAGCTCTAAAGAGAGTAATGTTTACAAACAATTAATTAGGTAGATAGACAGGTGCGATAAGGAGAGAGGTAATTAGCTAGACATGTTTAGTATGAAGCCGATAATTAGGCAGCCAAGCAGGGTGCACGTGAGATGTTATGGCTTCCCGTTTTCTTTCGCTTCTCAAAGAAAACGGCGAAATGGGAGAAACTATGCTTTTTTTTATTCATAGGGCAAGTTCTACTCGAATTAAAAATTACACATATATGAAATTTCTAAAAAACGGTTAATCAATATATATCTTTACAAAATATTGAGAGTTTAGTGACAAGTAACTAAAAAAGCAAGACCAAAAGCAGGAAGCAGGAATGCATGTTACAAAACGAAACGCGATAAAAGAAAAAAATCATACCACGTGCTAGGGGTAGGCTATGACCTCTTCTGTGTGTGTGTGCATAAGTGTGTGTGTGTGTGTGTGTGTGTGTGCGTGTGTGTGTGTGTGTGTGTGGTGTGTGTGTGTGTGTGTGTGTGTGTGTGTGTGGTGTGGTGTGTGTTGTGTTGTGTGTGTGTGTATGTGTATGTGTACGTAATATTATGTATACGTTGTATGTACATACAACACATTTGTACGAAGGCATTCCTGTGCACACGCATGTTCACACACACACAGCCTCTAAATTCACAGCCACGCACATTCCCCTCCTCCCCCCCCCACCCCCTCTCCCTCCATGGGCGATGAACAGCCAGGACAGACTCCCCGCCATTCAATACTTCGCACCAATGCAACATATATATCAATTGCATCCTTCTTGCGCCTCCTTTACCGTCATCCTATTCGGGTATTTGCAACCTCAGTCGTTCGGATCCTGTGGCCTTTCATTAACATATCTTATAGCACTTGATTAGCATAAACTTTGATATCATATAAATATATCCTATAGCATTTTATTAACATATCTTATAGCACTTGATTAGCATAAACTTTGATATCATATTGAATATATCCTATAGCATTTTATTAACATATCTTATAGCACTTGATTAGCATAAACTTTGATATCATATAAATATATCCTATAGCATTTTATTAACATATCTTGTATCATTTTATTAGTGTATCCGTTAATATCATACTAAAATATCCTATAGCATTTAATTAATATGTCTTACAGTACTTTATCAATATATCCTTTTATATAATATGATATTAATATACCCTATAGCATTTTATTAACACATATTACACCACTTTATCATCATATCAACATATTCTATAACACTTATTCAATTTTCCTTTTCCTAATATTTCTGTTTTTTTTTTTCTATTTCTTTCCTCTAACACTTATTCAATTTTCCGTTTCCTAATCTTTCTGTTTTCTTTTTATTGTTTTTTTTTCTATTTCTTTCCTCTCCTTGTGGGCGGCCTTAACATAGCTGGGTCGTGGGCGTCGGCGGCGACACCCATCCCGGAGGCTGCGATAGACAGGTGCTGGTGGGCGGGGGCCGGCGGTGATGGTGCCTGTGGTGGGGATGGTGATGGTGCTAGGGATGATGGTGATGGTGATGCTGGTGCCTGTGGTGGGGATGGTGATGGTGGTAGTGATGGTGATGTGGTGATGCTGGTTTCTTGTGGTGGGGATGGCGATGGTGCTAGTGATGGTGATGTGGTGATGCTGGTGTCTGTGGTGGGGATGGTGATGGTGCTAGTGATGGTGATAAGCTGGTGATGCTGGTGCCTGTGGTGGGGATGGTGATGGTGCTAGTGATGGTGATGCTAGTTTGATGCTGGTGTCTTGGTGGGGATGGTGATGGTGCTAGTGATGGTGATGGTGATGCCTATGGTGAAGTGAATGATGATGGTGGTGATGTGGTGTCTGTGGTGGGATGGTGATGGTGGTAGTGATGGTGATGATGGTAGTGCTGGGCCTGTGGTGGGGGGATGGTGATGGGGGGTAGTGTGGTGGTGCTATGATGGTGAATTGGTTGATGCTGGTTTCTGGGGGTGGGGATGGTGATTGGTAGCTAGTGATGAAGTGGTGATGGGTGATGCTGGTGTGCCTGTGGTGGGGAGTGGGATGTATGGTGCTAGTGATGAGTGGTGTATGTGTGGCTCGGTGGCCGTGTGGGGTGGGGATGGGATGATGGGTGCGGAGTGATTGGGGTAGGATGCTAGGTGGGATGGGTGATGTGGGTGATGGCTGGGTGTCTGTGGGTGGGGATGAGTGATGGTGGTAGTTGATGGTGTGCGAGGTGATAATGGTGATGGTGATGTGGTCAGTCTGTGGTGGGGATGGTGATGGTGCTAGTGATGGGATGGTGATGGTGATGCTTTGGTGACTGGTGGTGGGATGGTGATGGTGCTAGTGATGGTAATGCTAGTGATGGTGATGCTAGTGATGGTGATGCTGGTGCCTGTGGTGGGGATGGTGATGGTGGTAGTGATGGTGATGCTAGTGAATGGTGATGGTGATGCTGGTGCCTGTGGTGGGGATGGTGATGGTGCTAGTGAGTGGTGATCGCTGTGTGATTGCCCGCCCCCCTTAGTTGTTAGTGGATGGTGGATGCTGATGGTGATGGCTAGGTGGCTGTGGTGGAAATGTTGATGGTGGCCTAGTGAGGGTGAATGCTATGAATGGGGAATGATGGTGTTTGTCTAGTGAGGATGCTCTTGTTAGTGACTGGTGATGGCAGTGATGGTGATGCTAGGTGCTGTGGTGTAGAATGGAATGTGATGGTGTGGTAGTGATGGTGATGGCTGGTTGGATGGGGATGATGGTGGTTGCTAGTGATGCGCTTTGTTTAGCTGGATGGTGATGCTAGTGGGGGTGATGCTGGGTGCCTGTGGTTGGAATGCTGATGGGTGCTGTGGGATGGTTCGATGCTATGGTGAGGATGATCAGCTAGTGCTTATGGTGGGGGATTTAACTGGTGATGATGGGGGTTAAATAGGAGATGGTGATAGTGATGCTAGACTATATTGCTAGTGAATATATGGTGATGTTAGTGCCAGTGGTGATGAAGTAGATTGTGATGAGAGTGGTAGTGGTGATAGTGCCTGTGGTGGTGATGTTAATAGCGATTGTTTGATGTGATGTAGTAATATTTTTCGAAGGGGTGGTGAGCATGATAGTGATTGTCATTATAAAGCAGACAGAGATAGCAATGATGGTGATGATGACAGTCCATACACACACACACAGACACACACACACACACACACATGTGTATTTTATATATATATATATATATATATATAATATATATATATATATATATATGTAATATGTATGTATGTATGTATGTTGTATGGTATGTAATGTATGTATGTGTATGTATGTATGTATGTATGTATTATGATGTATGTATATATGGTATGTATGTATATACGTAGAGAGAGAGAGGGTAGATAGATATGTATATATATATATATATATATATATATATATATATATATATATATATATATATGTATGTGTGTGTGTGTTGTGTGTGTGTGTGTTTAATTGTGTGTGTGTGTGTGTGTGTGTGTGTGTGTGTGTGTGTGTGTGTGTGTGTGGTGTGTGTGGTGTGTGTGTGTGTGTGTGTGAGTGTGAGTGAGTGAGTGAGTGAGTGAGTGAGTGAGTGAGTGAGTGTGTGTGTAAATATATATACATACACATACACACACACACACACACACACACACACACACACACACACACACACACATGTGTGTGTGTTTCGTAATTCTCTTATCTCTTTTTTGTCTTTTCTTCCTATACATCCTCTTCATCTTTCTATTCGTCTTTTTGTTTGCTTTCCCTCCTGCCTACTTTCATTTTTATCATTTTTTTCACACCTTTCCTTCTATTTTTTTTCTTCTCCTACCTTTTATTTCGACTCTTATCTTCTCTCTTTGCCGTTCCTTTCCCTTCCCTTCCTTTATTCCCTTCCACTTTCCTATCTCTCGTTTTCACTTCTCGTTTTTTTCGTCATTTCCACTTTCTTTACACCTCTAATTTTCATTCTCACATCCACTCTCTTTAACTCTCTCTTCACCTCTGTTCTTATCTTCATTCTACTATCTTTCACTCATTTTCCCTATTTCCACTCTTTTTAGCTCTCTCTCCCCTCTATTCTTTATCCTCATTATCACCATCTTTCGCTCATTCTCTATACATCTACTTTCTTTGACTTTCGTTTCGTCACTTTTTTCCCGCATCATCCCCACTCCTACTTTATTTAGCTTTCTCTTACCACTACATTTCGCTCATTATCACTCTTTCCACTTTCTTCGACTTTCCTTTCTCCTCCACTTTTTATCCTCATTCGCCCGAGCTTCTTTATCTCCTCCATTTTTTCCCCTCCTTTCACACGAGCCATAAATTCCTGTCTGGGCCAAAGATCGGAATTTAAAGGGCGGAGTCTAGAAGCTTCGACCAGACGGAGGAAAAAAAATGGAAGAAATTATCTCATTTTCCTTCGTAATTTGTCAATTTGTTAATTAAAGGACGTAGGTGCGTATATTAGGGAAGATTTGGTGAGTGGGAGAGAGGAGGGGGGAGGAGGAGGTGGGAAAGAAGGAGGGAGAAAGTAAAGGAAGGAAGGAGAGAGAGAGAGAGAGAGAGAGAGAGAGAGAGAGAGAGAGAGAGAGAGAGAGAGAGAGGAGAGAGAGAGAGAGAGAGAGAGAGAGAAGAGAGAGAGAGAGAGAGCAGACAGACAGACAGACAGACATACAGACAGAGACAGAGAAAGAGAGAGAAAGAAAGAAAAAGTAAGAGAAAGAGTGACTGAGTAAGCGAGAGAGAGAGAGAGAACGAGAGAGTGAATGTTTGTGTTTGGTATGTGTCTCTGTGTGTATACATGAGTGTGTGTGAGATAGCAGTCGTGTCCATATAAGTGCAAAGAATATATGCATTCGCTTGCGCTTGTGTGTGTGTCTGTGCATACTAATTATGCATTTGCTTACTCGCTATAGCCTCTACTAGCAAAAGGCTTGGATTTCACTGCAACCTGTAAAAGATCATCATTATTTTTTCTTTTCTTTTTTCTTTAACGTGAACTGCCAGACGTACGACGTTTCAATCATGTTAAATGTCATGAAAAAAAATCAGAAAGTTTGCAATAAAAATTAAAAAGAAAGAAAAAACTGATGATAATGATAATTGTGCTTAGAATGGCCTTGGGGTAATACTTTGGATATTAAGAATTGTACAGATTATTAGAAAAATGACAAACCAGAGTTAAAATATATAAGGGAAAAATGTGTGTATGTGGTGTGTGGTGAGTGTGTCTGTGTCGTGTGTGTGTGTGTGTGTGTGTGTGTGTGTGTGTGTGTGTGTGTGTGTGTGTGTGTGTGTGTGTGTGTGTGTGTGTGTGTGTGTGTGTGTGTGTGTGTGTGTGTGTGTGTGTGTGCGAATGTGTCTGTGTACGAGTGTGTGTATGTATGTGTGTGCAACGAGCGCGTGTGTGTGTTTTTTACATCAACACTCTCTCAAGATCACTGACTCATGTGTTTATGGAAATACAGAAGGCCTAGAGGGTCGTGTAAAGGGATCCTGAATGTAAACTTGCAAAGATGTTTTCCATTAAACCATTTACTAAGATCCTTGTTATTTATTCCAAGATATCCAAAAGAAACAAACAACGACAAATATAAATGCAATATCGACAATAAATATTAATCAACCCTCCCTCACTGTGAGATATTTCTATGAATGAAAAAAAGAAAAACACGAACCGGGGTTTCAGCTCACAAATTGCTGTTTATCTCTTGTCTAACGTATTCTCATCTTTTATTATTAGCATACCTTCCCGCTTTCATAACTGACAGCTTGTGTATGTTTTGGGGGACGGGGGGAAGGGAGAAGGGAGAAGGGGGGAAGGGAGGAAGGGAGAAGAAGTGGGAGGAACTCTAAACATTTGGAGATCTGCAAATCCTGTTTCCATCGGTAGGGTTTGAGGTCCTAATGCGCATCTTGAGAAAGGGAGGAGGGAGAGAAGGGAGGAAGGGAGAGAGAAGAGGAAGGAGTGAGGGAGGGAATGGCGGAGGGAAGAAGGGAGGGGGAAGAGACGAACAGACAGACACACAGACAGACAGAGAGAGAGAGAGTTAGAGAGAGGAGGGGGAAATAAGAAACAATAATAATAAAGAAAAGAAAATGAGAAATGTGTAATAAAAAAAAAACGGAGCAAGAGATAGTTACCATGTTAAATTTGCAGATAGAGATATATACAGATAGTTACTTCAAAACCAAATTACATTCAATGCATTCTGCGCTCCATTCATATCATAAATTACGCAAACAATACAGTAATAACCCTCAAAATACAGTAACAACTCTCAAAATACAGTAGTAACTCAAAATACAGTAGTAACTCAAAATACAGTAATAACTAACCCCGAAAAATACATTAATATCTCTCAAAATACAGTAATAGCTCTCAAAATACAGTAAAAACTCAAAATACACTAATAACTCTCCAAATACAGTAATAACTAACCCTCAAAATACAGTAATTACTAACTCTCAAAATACAGTAACCACTCTCAAAATGCAGTAATAACCCTCAAAATACAGTAATAACTCAAAATATATCAACAACTCTCAATATACACTAATGAATATCAAAAATACATCATACAGTCGAACGAACACACGCACATTCCAGACAGCATCTTGCACAACTTTCACAGCATCTTTATCTGTGTTAAAACCATCATACTTTCCAAACCCTTAGTTAGAAAGCCCATCCTTTCACCCTACATAAGGGTCGTTTTCCTTCTATTGCTCTCCATTCCTCTCTCTTTCTCTATTTCTATTCTGTATCTTTCGCTCTCTTTCATTTCTCTCTCTTTCTCCTCTCTCTTTCCTCTCTTTCATTCTCTCTCTCTTTTCTCTTTCTCTCTCTCTCTCTCTCTCTCTCTCTCTCTCTCTCTCTCTCTCTCTCTCTCTCTCTCTCTCTCTCTCTCTCTCTCTCCTCTCTCTCTCTCTCTCTCTCTCTCTCTCTTCT